TTAGGGTTAATAGCATTTTCCCACCTAGACTTTGCCCGTTTTTGCACTTTCCCACCTCAACTAAAAAAAGTTGCACGGCGGCACCCAAACATTCATTTTTGAGGCACATAACCACCTGGAGGGAATATTCCGGCGAATATTCTCATTTTTCAACGCACGCGCGATGCACATGCGAAAGTACAAGGGCTTTTTCGTCTTTTTACTTGAAAATATTATAAGGGGTGAAATTGAAAGTACCAGGGACTCAATTGAACTTAATTTGAAACTTTCTGGATCGACTTGCACTTAATTTGAAACTCGACTATGTTCGGCTGCCCGCTCAAATGCTGCATTATGTGAACCTCCCTCTTCATATCGTCCTTATCGTTCTTGCTCGATATCTCGGTGCACGAATACGTCACGCCGAATTGGCCCCTCCCCAATTCTTTCCCCACCGTGTAATGCGACTTCACATCTTCAAAGGGTTTGCCGAGAATGTTGTTGGGCTCTAGTTTCTGGGCGGGGAGTTGGGGTTGGGGTGGGGGTGAGGGTTTCGGAGGTGGTGGCGGCGCCGCCGCCTGCGGCGGCGGTGGTGGGTTGTAGTGGTGCCTTTCGGGTTGGGTTGGAGGCTGAGTGGTGTATTGGGGTTGGGGCTTTTCGTAATTTTGTTGATTGTAAGCAGTGTTTGCTGATCTGTAGCCATTTGCATCTGGGCTTGAGTATTTGCCCTTGCTAAAACACCCACCCATGTTTTTTAATTTTAATTTTTTTTCTGAATCTTTGAATCAAGATTGCAGCTTTATGAATCGATTCGTGAAAAGGAATACAGAAAAAGTGGAATCTGGGGAGAAGATTCAAATCGAGAATTAAATCTAGAAATTGAGGGTTTTATTTTGGGGATCTGATTATTCGACCTAGTTGTGTAGACGAAGAAGGTCTGCAATGGCGACTATGGATTAAGGAGAAGAAAAAAGAATTAAAAAAAAATCATTTCACAGACTGTGTTTGTTGACTTCTCAAAGCTGTGTGTGAAGTGTTCAACACACGTTTTTGCTTTAAGTTCAATTGAGTCCCTGGTACTTTCAATTTCACCCCTTATAATATTTTCAAGTAAAAAGACGAAAAAGCCCTTGTACTTTCGCATGTGCATCGCGCGTGCGTTGAAAAATGAGAATATTCGCCGGAATATTCCCTCCAGGTGGTTATGTGCCTCAAAAATGAATGTTTGGGTGCCGCCGTGCAACTTTTTTTAGTTGAGGTGGGAAAGTGCAAAAACGGGCAAAGTCTAGGTGGGAAAATGCTATTAACCCTAATTATTATAGTGTGTGGAAAATTGGAATATAATTTTCGAATATCGATAACAATATTTCCGACTTGGAACAATATTTTTCATTTCAAATTTTGAAAGTTTTGATTTCCATTTTTTTTATTGAAACAAAATTTGAAAATTCAGATTTTTTACCTAACATTACATGTTGTAGTATTAATATTATTACTTACTTTATATATTACAGGTAATTAAAGAAAATGTAAAGGCCGAATTATGTCGATTTTGGTAATAGAAAATATGATTTTGGAACGATTTTTTCTTAGTTATTTTCGGACCAGAATTGGAATTATATTTTTCACTTTCGAAAAAAATAATGGTTTGATTCCTCTAATTTACACCCCCATCCTACCGGGTTTATTGCGGTTATTGAGATGTTACACCTGGTGAAATACGCCGGTTAAATATTATTTAATAATCACCCGGTGTATTTCACCGGGTGTAGCATCAAATAAACCGGTTTATTGCCTATACAATAACGTTTTTTTTTTTCCTATTTTTTTTTTTGGGTTTTTGCGCATAAGTCCCCAACCAAGCATCTTTATTATTCTAGGTTTAGGGGCTATATCTCTTTCACCAATAACCTCATTCCTTTAATATTTATTATAAATAAAGGAAACATTCATGTATATAACAATATTACCCCCAACCTTTTATACTCAATTCTTAATTGTAACCCCAATTTAATCAATTTTGTCCACAAAAATCCAATTTTGACCATAAAATCCAATTTTGATTTTTTTTTTTCAAATTTTTTTTTTGCTGCCAAATTTCGGCGTTGACTTTTCGCTTTTTTTTCTTCCGGATTTTTTCGCCGGTTTCCAGCGTTGACTTTTTTAGTGTTTTTTAAAGTTTTTTTTTAACGTCCGCAGCTAAACGTTGACCGTAATTGTGCTGTCACTGACAGTAAATTAACGTAATTATACTGTCAATGACAGTTAATTAACGTAATTGTACTTCCGTTGACAATACATTTATGTAATTGTTCTGCCGTTGACAGTACATTAACGTAATATTATTATTTTTTATTTTTTGTTATTTTTTTTTTATTCTTTTTGATTTGTTGACAAGTCAACGTAATTATATTATTGTCGTTGACAGTAAAATAACTGTAAACACAATAATATTACTGTCAACAACATCAATATTATTATTTTTTTGGGTATTTTGTTTTGCTTGAGTTATTCACGGAGTAACGTAATAATATTACTATCTATTATTGTAATATTACTGTAAACACAATAATATTATTGTTGTTATAGTAATATTGCTGTCAACCATATCAATATTATTATTTTGTTTGGATTTTTTTGTTTGTTTGAGTTATTCACGGTGTAATGTAATAATATTACTGTCTATTATTGTAATATTACTGTGGTTGACGGTAATATTACTGTTGTTATAATAATATTACTGTCACTTACCGTAATATTAATTCTTTTGCCTTTTTATTATGTTTACATTTGTTGAACGGTCAACATAGTAATATTACTCTATTACACAATAATAATGAGTTTTGTTGTGTTAATATTACTGTGCTAGAGATTAATATAGCAATATTACTGGGTTAAATTGTAGTTTTAGTCAATTTTACCGTGTTTAACAGTAATATAGTTAATATTACTGTCAATCACAACAATATTGCTGTTTAAACGAAAAAAAAAATGTTACAAAAAAAATAAAAAATTGAATAGTCAACGCCATATAAGGGGCTATTTTAGTCTTTTATGAAAATCAAGACCATATTTGAACTTATTTGTAAAAGAGTTTTTTGTCGAGATCTCTTTAGAAATAAGTACCCATTCATGAGTATATTTATAACGACCCTTTTTTTTTTAGAGAGATTGGCTATATAATATCTTATCTTCAGATGTAGTCTAGGGGTAGTTTTAAAATTTTAATTCCCCTCCTATTTTGAGGTTAAAATAGTCTTATTTTTTATTTCCTATTTTGAAGAATTTATTACATCCATTATAAAATTTCAAAGAATTTATTATATCCATTAGAAAATTGGGACTATTAGTGAGAACCCCCTCTAACATTATTTTAATAAGCATGGGTCCAACTTCTTTTCCTTTATTAGTGAGAGACCCATCTTTTTTTTATTCTCAAATTTACCCTTCCTCTATTCACTACCTATTATACCATATTTAGATGCACTTTTTATTTTTATATTTTAATTTTAATTTTCGTTTATTTATTTACTTCTTATTTAAAAAATAATATTTAAAAATAAATATTTTTTATAACTTTCTATTATATTTAAAAAAAAAAATTAGTATTTTTTTTATCTTCAGCTAAAACAACTATATTTCAATAAAACAACTATTATTAAAACAACTAATGTTAAAAACAACTATTAAACAACTGTTATTAAAACAACTATATATCTCCAACAACTCTCATTTCAACTATTCTATTTGTTAAATCAACTATTTATTAACATCAACTAAAAGGTAGTAAAAACAACTATGTTGTTGTACGAAAACAACTATATTACCGAAATGAAATCAACTATAAATTATCAAATTCAAGTAAGAAATTATCGTAATCATTTACAAATCATCGTAATAAACTGCAAAAAAAGCACCATAAGTATCACACACACAACTTTAATTTTATGTAGTTCTTCCACAAGTCAACCCACCAACAATAATGCAAGAATGGGAGCGAATATCGACAAAAGTCCAGAGTCCACCAGCTGCAAATTAAAAACACCGACAAAAGTCATAAATTAACTACAAAAAGTAATTAAAAAGTTTCATAAATCAACTACAAAAAGTAATAAAAAAGTTAAAATATAATGCTGACAAAAACAACTATATAAATAAATAACATAAAAAACCAATAAAAGTACAAAACAACTATAAAAAACAGAAAAACAACTAAAGAAATGACAAAAACAACTATTTTAACAAAATTAAAACGACATGACTATCGCAACACATCAAGATCGATCAAATAGTTTGCTTGGAGCATTCTCGTAATTTCTTGATTTTCTCATCGCAAACCACCATTATTAGCATATCTAAACAAAGAAAAAAAATAAAAGAACACCAATATTCCCAAACAAAAATATAGAAATAAAAACTCAAATTCAAGTATACTCAGTACTCACAATCATCAACATTAGGGTCGCACTTAGCAATAGGCTGACCATGGGGCTCCTCCCCTTCCTTCGATTGGTCCTTTGTGTGCAGTTTCATAGCCATAAAGCCCATCTCCTCCAGAAAAATCTTTTGCCTCCCCGGATACATTTTCTACAGTTTCTCTGCCGCCGTTGTGGCTGAAACCACCACCATCCTTGCTTTCTACAGCGAATATCTCATCGATATGGATAATTTCTCGGTTATTGGAGAACCAGAGGTGGAAGGGGGAGGAGATGGCGGTGCGAGGCGGAGGCGTAAGGGGAGAGTGATTGCGGCGGTCTGTTTAACGCTAGTTGCCGCCCTTCACCATGGAATCGCAGGGAAGGAAGATGCGTTAAGAAAAATGGGGAAGATCGTGAGACAACGTCGGGCGAGGATGGGGAGCGTCGGCAGGGGAAAGAAACGGGAGAGAGGTGGGGGGCTGGTTGAGAGAAAATGGCGAGGAAAAAAAATAGGGTTTGTTATTTGAATTAAGGGTAATACAGGTATACCACTAAAAATTCGGATTTATGTTAAATTGAAATATGGAATAAGGGGGGTTTCACTAATATGTAAAATAGGGGTATAGTCATTCTTATTTAACTTAATGTGTTAGGGGGTTTTCACTAATAATCCCTAGAAAATTTCTTATTTTTGTGGACGGTCAATATCAAACAAAATAAAATGCCTGGTCAACATCAGAGATGACCGGTTGAAAAGTGGGAAAAAAAGGGTAAAAAATAGGTTGTGGGGTCAAAAATCAAAAGTCAAAATTGAATTGTATGTTAAAAAGGTTAATTTGGGGTAATTTTGGCAAACTAATATTTAATTATGTGAGTATATTTATCAACTGATGATATTTTTGTCAATTAAAAAGTAGAATTTAGCTATTTCAATTAATTGTATAGACATTACAATTTTTTATGTGAAAAGATTTGGTTAATCATTAATTAGCAAGAGGGGAAACTCAAACAAAAAAAAAAATTAGCAAGAGGGGATTTTGGTAATTAGACCTTGGTAGGGGCAATTTTGGTAATTTATCATATATTTATTAATATTCACAAATCTCACATGCATTTAAACGATGTTATTAATTTATCGATTTTATCTAATCAACAGTCCAGTAAAAATCAAATCCGTAATTATAAATTCATAATAATTGAATAAAACATGTTTAGTTTAAATGATAAACCAAACAAGGTTACAAAAATATGGTCAAACATTTTAATATTTTGACTTATAATTTTTTATAATCTTATTACATATGAGAACACTTTTGAATTTATAGAAAAACAATAATTAGATTGCTAAATATTGTAATTTACAGATGAACCAAATCAACCAATTAATGTAACGGTCAACAATTTGTCAACTATAAATTCAACTCCTCATTTCATTTTATTTTTACCACATCTAAACATAATTAACATGGCTGGGGTTTCACAAATTTCCTGCAAATTATTTATTGCATTGGTTGCAATAAAACTATGCACTATTGCAGCGTTCAACGTTGTCGATTTCGGGGCAATCGGAGATGGAAAAACGGACTCGACGTCGTCGTTTCTCAAGGCTTGGAACGCGGCATGCAACTCAATTGTACCGGACGCTACGATGGTTGTTCCACCAGGAATATTCTTGGTGAGATATATAACTTTTACGGGCCCGTGCAAAAGCAATAATACGGAACTCTTCATATTTGGAACTATTATTGCTCCCGATGATTATAAATTCATCGGCTCTGACCAGTTTTGGATTGTGTTCTATCGAGTCAACTGGCTTTCGATATATGGCGGTACGCTCGATGCTAAGGGGTCTAGTTTGTGGGCTTGCAAGAGTGCGGGAAATGATTGTCCGTTCGGAGCAAGGGTACGTTGGTCATTTCACTTTCGAAATAGTAAAATTGTGAAATGTTTTTCTTTTTGGTAATTAATTATTGAATGCGATGATTTGCAGTCGATAACATTCCAATCGTGCAGCTATGTGCTAGTCAGTGGATTGAAATCGATCAATAGCCAACGAATTCATATTTCTATCAATCAATGTTCGAATATGACTTTACGAAAATTGGTAATAATTGCTCCGAGTCGAAGCCCTAACACGGATGGAATCCACATCGAATCTTCGACGGGTATTACAATTAGCAACAGCAGTATTGGGACTGGAGACGACTGCATATCCATCGGGCCGGGCTCCAAGAGCTTGCTGATGGACCAAATCGCATGTGGCCCGGGCCATGGCATCAGGTAAAAAACATAATGAATTTTTTGAATTCCTTCAACTATGATATTTTTTTTATAAACTATGATTTTTTATTTCCCGAAGAAAATTCGTATCGGGAGGGTCAAATTATATATATAAAATTTTCAGAATTAACGATTTTTGTTTAATTTTCATTTTGAAAATATCAAAAAAATATCGAAAAAAATGTATTTACAAGATCAATATTAATATTGTGTATTTATTATGTTACTTATATTAGGAATGAACATAGTTAGAAAAAAATGAATTAAATGTGGATTCTTATAAATAAAAAAATTAACTTTTGTAATAATTCTTTTCATTCTGATTTTCGAAATCCGATTTTTATTTATGTATGTTTTGATTTTTTTGGATATGAATCACAATGAAATATTTCATTTCCAATTTGTTTTTTTAAATTTTCGTAAATATTAATTTCGATAATATATCCGTTTGATTTTCAACCATCTTTGTAATTCGTAAACGATCTATTTCGCCTCGATGTTAGCAATTCGTGCTCCTTATGGCAAAAGAAAATTCTCTCTTTATGCCATATATATACATACAAACAATAGTAACAAAAAAAATGATCTTGATTTGTTTTCTAATTATTAATTGAATAAACAGCATTGGAAGTCTAGGTAGAACTGCAATCGAGGATGGAGTGCAAGATGTGAATGTCACAAATTCAATCTTCACAATGACTCAAAACGGCGTTAGGGTAAAGTCATTTCCTACGGCAAGTGACGGATATGCGAAGAATCTTTTATTCAAGAATCTCATCATGCAAAACGCCTCGAATCCCATGATCATCGATCAAGACTATTGCCCACACGGGACTTGTTCTCAAAAGGTACGTACGTACATATATACTCAACGCACATTTGTAACTGCGAGTTTCTTTATAAAAAAAAGGGAAAATTACAGTTTACATCCCTCAGTTTGCACCGCTTTCACATTTAGTTCCTCATGTTCACAAAAAAATACATTTGGCCCCTCATGTTACAATAATTTAACACTTTTGGTCATTTCAATTTACCGTTAATTTGTCAGTTAAGGCAGTGATGGACACAAGCTTAATTCTGTTACTAGTAACGGAAAATTGACGGAAATGACTAAAAATGTTGATTTTTTGAAATATGAGGGACCAAACGTGCTTTTTTATAAACATTGAGGACCAAATGTGAAATCAGTGCAAACTTGAGGGACGAAAATTGTAATTTTCCCTTAAACATACATTATAGAAAATAAAAATGGTTTTATTAATCTAGAATACGTGAAATCTATTTCTACCACATAAATTCCAAATTTTATATTTGTATATACGTGTAAGAGAGGCGATTCGGATTTATTTTATTATTTTTACTCTTTGTTGTTTATATAGTTCTTAACGAAACGAGAAATATTTGTGCAGAATTCCGCGGTAAAAGTGAGCCAAGTGACATTCGAAAATATAACGGGAACATCATGGACACGAAAAGCGTTCACATTGCGTTGCAGTTCGACTAGTCCTTGTGATGGAATACAATTGAAAGATATTGATCTCCATTACGTAGACCATTGGACGAATCCTACACAATCGGATTGTGAAAACGCGCAAGTTTCTTTCATCGGTTATGTCTTCCCTTATAATAGATGCTTATAGATTCGAGAGAGTTCCTATTGTATTGTTTTTGACTTTTTTTTTTGAATATTTTTTTTTTCTTTAACATCTTTTTATCTCGTTTAAACAACAATATTGTTGTGGTTGACAGTCATATTAACTATATTACTGTTAAACACAGTAGTATTAACTATACTACATCTTAACACAATAATCTTGTTATATTAAACTCTAGCACAATAATATTAACACAACAAAATTCGTTATTATTGTGTAATAGAGTAATACTAATATGTTGACCGTTCAACAAAGGTAAACATAATAAAAAGCCAAAATAATTAATATTGATGTGGTTGACAGTAATATTATTGTCATCCACAGTAATATTACTGTAACAACAGTAATATTACCGTCAACCACAGTAATATTATTGTGTTTATAGTAGTATTACAATAGTAAACATTACTGTTATTACTATAATCTGTCAACAACTCAAACAAAAAAAATGTAAAAAAAAAAGTAATAATAATAGTAATGTGGTCGACAGTAATATTATTGTGTTTACAGTTATTTTACCGTCAACGAAATTAATATAATTACGTTGACTTGTCAACAAATCAAACAACATAAAAAAAGCCAAAACTAATAATATTGTCGCTGACGATTATTGTACTGTCAACGACAGTACAAATATACTGTCAACGGTAATATAATTATTATTAATGGCAGTACAGTTATGGTCAACTTAGCGGCGGACTAAAAAAAAAATGGATCAAAATTTTAGGAAAAAAAAACTAAAAAAAGTCAATGCCGAAAACAAAAAAATAATTTCAGAAAAAAAAAAGTTTTTTTAAAAAAAAAGTCAAAATTGAATTTTTGTGTTCAAAATTGATTAAATTGAGGTTACAGCTAAGAAATTAATGTAAAGGGTTGGGGGTAATTTTATCATATACATTATTTTTTCCTTTATTTATAATTTATATTAAAATGATGGAATTATTGGCGAAAGAGATATAACCCCAAACCTAGAATAATAAAGATGGCTGGCTAGTCAGGAATTTATGCACAAAAACCCTAATTATTTAAGCGATGTTATCTCTTTATCGAGGTTCTACTTTATTTAATCAACAGTCATATATAAATCAAATCCGTAATCCTAAATTCATAATAATTAATAAATAACACATGTTTAATTTAAATGATATAAACCAAACCAAGTTTACAAAAACCAATTTTGATATGCATAATTGGGCCAATCCAATGAGCCTACAATTTCTTTATCTAATGGGCCACGAGCCCAATATTGAAGATCACTACAATCGAGGCCCAATCACCTTCAAGTAAAGTTTGAGCCTGACAATCTCAACGAAGGTATAAATAAAGGTTGAAACTCATTCGTTAAGGTAGGGCCTATTATGTGAGTAACACTACAATTTGTATTTTCTCAACTATTTCACTGTCCGCACGTCTGATTTAAGGGTTGGAGGGATTTTCGCCGGATCAACCCCCGGCCTAGTTCACGTGTTCTCTGTTCGCAGGTATCTCAAGACCATTTAGCTCGTGAGCCAGGGATCCACTTTGCTCTCCTAGCTCATCGCACCTCATTTATTTAAGGTGATCTATTTCTAGCATCATCATAATGGCACCGTATGTGGGAAGGCATACAAGATCACGTAGTGCGCATGATGTCCCTGAGTCACCTACTCGGAAAGAACGAATGGTAACTACCTCCCACTTCCCGTAGGCTCTGGCTTGCCACTTTCTCCTCGTAATCAGAATCCACCTCGTGATGTCCAGATAAAACCACCGCAGGATCCACTACTGCCCGCTCCTCGAACGGTTAAGATAACCGAAGAGGCCCTCCAAAAACAGCTCGTGCTGGCACTGAAGTAGTGGCACAATACATCACCACATCGAGAGTCAACACTCCCCCTGCAGCTCCACCTGTGGCACAACGACCTCCACCGCCACTAGATACGACGTCCACCTCAAACTCTAGGCCTCGGAAGCACCAATCTACTCATCACTATGATGCACGAACTGGGCGATAAGACCCACGTTCACCTTTAAGAAGCAACGCCTCTCGCTGACGAGCTCCACCACACAATGATGGACAGAAATAAATTAACAGTCGAATATCTCGCTCGAATCACCTTCCCCACATAGGTAATCATATTGGTGGAAGGGCAATACCTCCAATAAGGCGAAGTCCCTTCACCGTCGCAATAATCAATGAGATACTACCCCAACGGGTAAAGGTATCGAGTCTACCGCAGTTCGATGTAACTAGCGACCCACATGAGCACCTCGAAGAGTTCTACGTCATGGCAGATCTATATGACCCAACTGATGCGGCAATATGCAAGATGTTTTGCACAACACTCTCCGAACGAGCATTGAGCTGGTTGAACTCCTTGCCCATAGGGTCAATTGAAACCCTTTCCAACTGACGGATCCCTTCACCCACCATTTCTCTATCTACAAAGAGTACGCTTAGACTCTCGCATACCTTTTCACTATCACCCAGAGACAGGGCGAAACCCTCCGCAACTACATTCAACGATTTGTAGAGGCAGCTCACGAAGTTCTTAATGTGGGAGGAAACATGCATTCTAGAATCATTCAACAAAATTTGAAGCAGAGTAGATTCAAGGAATCAATTGCAGGAAGACCTCGAGCCACCCTGGAAGAGTTATTAAATCGCGCTGAGAAACACGTGCGCATCAAAGAAGCTTCGGCCCTCGCTCCTCCCTAGAGGAAAAGAGATAAAGATCACTTCAACACCCGACGACGAGATGGCCAACGACAATCGTTGACATCTCTTTGCCAATCTCCTTCTACGTCCCTGGACTTCCAATGATGTCAATGACACTTGGAGTCTCTCGAACCCATTATATTGTTAGTGATCGCATCATCCTAAACTGGGGGACAATCCTACCTTAAGGATGATGCATCCCCTCACATCTCTACATCAATTCGACGAAAGACCTACATCATTTACGTAGTACAAGTTTAGTTATTTAGAGCGATTCGCTCCCTACTTGTTTAGTTACCTTGGTCTCATGTAGGCGTGTAACCTTCACATTTTCCCCTACTCTTGGTGTTATTGCTCTGTCACAACATAATTATTAGCTCAAGTCAACATTAACCATGGGAACACTTTGGGAAGTTATGATAATCTATATAGTCTGGCCAGTTTGATTTCATAAACTTCTCCATATGTCTTCATTGCGTCTTCCTACATTTAAAACGTGGCAACGGTCCTAACAAACTTACGACCCTTGAGGTCTCATTTTTTTTCCCTATCGAAGATTTCATTTTTGTTTTAAGAATAGAAATTTGAAATGAAACCATATGCTGCGACGATGGCGCAAAGGATTAGTTTCTATTTGGAAAAGAAAAACAATTAATTGGCCGGAATCAATTGTATGGGTTCGCTATTGTTGGCTCTGGTCAACTCCCTTTTCATTGGTGGTTTCTTCGCCGTTGTTGTTGAGTCTCAACAAAATGTGAATCCTCCGCCTCCGCCGCCGCCGGAGGTTTCACCTCCTCCACCACTACCATCCCAAATGCCGCCTCCACCGCTGGAGTTTTCACCACCTCCACCTATTACTCCACCACCTCCGTCTTCTGCCCTGCCGACACATTTTAAATTGGGGACGGAATGAAATGGAAATTATACAGAGGTTAAATCGAAGAATCAACGAACAGTTTGGCAAAACAAAAGAGTTTGGCCCCAAATAGTTGATACCTTCAATAAAATTGGGAATCAAGGTTACATCGGATACTTGAATCTATGTCAGCATTGCAGGTAACCACCATCCAATTCCAGAAATTTGGGTTTTTTTTTTCCTTAAGATAATTGTTTTTTTTTTTTTTTTATAGATTTTCTGAGTGATCCCCTAATCTTAGCAATGGAAAATTACCGGAGTAGAGAAAAGTAGGGGATGAAGAGAGAGGGGGGAGAGAGAAAGAGAGAGAAGGCGGGATTTAACGGTTAATCCGATTTAGCTTTTTTTTTTTCCGTTGATTTGATTCACAGCTTGATTCTTATTTTAAGGGGTACGATCCCCATTAAAACATCTTGAGACACTGATCCCCTCATCAAGTACATCACGCACAATACTAAATGTAACAATATACAAGCAATGCGTCAAACTAATGACAATGTCAAATAATATAATTGTCAAATGAAGTAGTAGTGGGCATACACATCTACACCAAGTATGAAGACACTGAAAATATCATCTACAAACATCATTCTCTACATCGGTGCCCGCATCATCAACATCCTCTACTTCTTCTCCCTCATCGAGAATGCTCGGCTCCATCCGTGGGATGATGTCCTTATCCATCCCACCCGCATCACGAAGGTGAGACAACTCGCCCAACATCTCTATCCCACGCCCAGACAACTCCCACGAGGAGACAACTTGCTCAGACCCCCAGAGTCACTTGATGAACTTGACTTGTCGTTATATCTCCCAAAATCTACTACTTGGGATCTATAACGTCAACTACTAGTCATCATAATGGCGCCGTATGTTGGAATGCATACATGATCACGTAGCGCGCATGAGGTCCCTGAGTCATCTACTCGGAAAGAACGTGACAATGCTAACAACCTCCCACTTCGCGGAGGCTTTAGCTTGCCACTTCCTCCTCGTAATTAGGATCCACCTCGTGATCTCCAGATAAAACCGCCGCAGGATCCACCACTCCCCGCTCCTCAAACGGTTAAGATAACCGAAGAGGCCCTTCAAAAATTGATTGCAGAAGCTTTAGTTCGTGTTGACACAGAAATAGTGGCACAATACATCACCACATCGAGAGTCAACACTCTCCCTGCAGCTCCACCCGTGGCACAACGACCTCCACCACCACTGGATACGGCGTCCACCTCAAACTCTAGGTCTCGGAAGCAACAATCTACTCATCACTATGACGCACAAACTAGGCGACAAGACCCAAGTTCACCTTTAAGAAGCAACACCTCTCGCTGATGAGCTCCACAATGATGTGGAGATATGAAATTAACAGTCGAATATCTCGCTTGCATCACCTTCCCCACATAGGTAATCCTATTGGTGGAAGGGCAATACCTCCAATAAGCCGAAGTCCCTTCACCGTCGCAATAATCAATGAGATACTACCCCGACGGGTAAATGTATCGAGTGTACCGCAGTTCGATGGAACTAGTGACCCACACGAGCACCTCGAAAAGTTCTACGTCATGGCAGATCTATGTGGCCCAACTGATGCGGCGATGTGCAAGATGTTTCGCACAACTCTCTCCAAACGAGCATTGAGCTGGTTCAACTCCTTGCCCACTAGGTCAATTGAAGCCCTTTCCCAACTGACGAATCGCTTCACCCACCATTTCTCTAACTACAAAGAGTACGCTAAGACTCCCGCGTACCATTTCACTATCACCCAAAGAGGGCGAAACCCTCTGCAACTACATTAAACGATTTGTAGAGGCAGCTCACGAAGTTCCTAATGTGGGAGGAAACATATTTTTTGGAATCATTCAACAAAATTTGAAGCAAGGTAGATTCAAGGAATCTATTACATGAAGACCTCCAGACCCTGGAAGAGTTATTAAATCGCAGTGAGAAACACGCGCGCATCAAAGAAGCTTCGTCCCTCGCTCCTCCTTAGAGGAAAAGAGATAAAGATCACTTCAACACCCGGCGACGAGATGGCCAACGACAATCGTTGACATCTCATTGCCAATCTCATTCTACATCCCTGGACTTCCAATGATGTCAATGACACTTGGAGTCTCTCGAACCCATTACATTGTTAGTAATCGCATCATCCTAAACTGGGGGACTATCCTACCTTAAGGATGATGCATCCCCTCACCTCTCTACATCAATTCGACGAAACACCTACATCATCTACGTAGTACAAGTTTAGTTATTTAGATCCCTACTTGTTTAGTTACCTTGGTCTCATGTAGGCGTGTAACCTTCACATTTTCAATCAATGAATAAAGCAAGTTATTTCCCCTACTCTTGGTGTTATTGCTCTGTCACTACATAATTATTAGCTCAAGTCAACATTAACCCTGAGAACACTTTGGGATGTTATGATAATCTATATAGTCTGGCCAGCTTGATTTTATAAACTTCTCCATATGTCGTCATTGGGTCCTCCTACATTTAAAATGTGGCAACGGTCCTAACAAACTTACGACCCTTGAGGTCTCATTTTTTTTCCCTATCGAAGATTTCATTTTTGTTTTAAGAATAAGAATTTGAAATGAAACCAGATGCTGCGATGATGGCGCAAGGGATTAGTTTCTATTTGGAAAAGAAAAACAATTAATTGGCCGGAATCAATTGTATGGGTTCACTATTGTTGGCTTTGGTCATCTCCCTTTTCATTGGTGGTTTCTTCGCCGTTGTTGTTGAGTCTCAACAAAATGTGAATCCGCCGCCGCCGCCGCCGGGGGTTTCACCTCCTCCACCACTACCATCCCATTTGCCGCCTCCACCACCGGAGTTTTCACCACCTCCACCTATTACTCTACCACCTCCGTCTTCTACCCTGCCAACCTTTTTGAAATTGGGGACGTCTTTGAAAAGGAAATTGTACGGAGGTTAAATCGTAGAATCAACGAATAGGGTCCAAAACAACATGGTTTGGCCCTAAATAGTTGATACCTTTAAAAAAATTGGGGAAAAAGGTATCTTAAATTGGGGAGGGAATCAGGGTTACATCGGATACTTGAAACTATGTCAGCATTGCAGATAACCACCACCCAATTCCAAAAATTTGGGGTTTTTTTCTCCTTTAGGTAATTTGTTTTTTTTTTTTTTTTTAGATTTTCTGAGTGATCCCCTAATCTTAACAATGGAAAATTACCGGAGTAGAGAAAAGTGGGGGATGAAGAGAGAGAGAGAGGGGAGAGAGAAAGAGAGAGAAGACGGGATTTAACGATTAGAGAGAGATGGGAGAGAGAAAGAGAGAGAAGACCGGAGTAAATTATTATTATTATTATTATTATTATTATTATTATTATTATTATTATTATTATTATTATTATTATTATTATTATTATTATTATTATTATTATTATTATTATTATTATTATTATTATTATTATTATTATTATTATTATTATTATTATTATTATTATTATTATTATTATTATTATTATTATTATTATTATTATTATTATTATTATTATTATTATTATTATTATTATTATTATTATTATTATTATTATTATTATTATTATTATTATTATTATTATTATTATTATTATTATTATTATTATTATTATTATTATTATTATTATTATTATTATTATTATTATTATTATTATTAGCGCGTGCACTGAACGCACACGTCGGTAGCCGCGCATCTGCTAAAATGCGCACCTTGATTCGGGCGCGCGCAGGGAACAGAAAAAGTAAAAAAGAAAAAAATAGAAAAAAAAAAAAGAAGAACCGCGTGGTTGTTACGCGCCTACGCATGGCAGCCACGCGCCTGCGCATCTTTATAGTGCGCCCCTCTGCGCGCGTTCCCTTGCAAAGCAAGCACGCCTTTCCATGCACGCGCGCGTTCCTAAGCGTATCACCACTCCAATCAATCGCGCGCGATACCTAATCGCGCATTTCCACCGCGCGCAGCCTTCAATGCGATCCCCCAATCGCGCGGCCTCCAATCGCGCGTTTCTTCCAGTGAAAAAATAAAGACAAAAGAAAAGAAGGGAAGCATATTAATTATATATTGTTATTCAATGACATCGTCCAACACATATCTACAACACAGATCTACTCTCGACACGATTCGATAGTTTTTTCCACTTGGCTCCCACATCGACTCGAGAATGGGGGTTTAATGATATGCCTGATTGGGCCAACCCAATGGGTCTACAATTTCTTTATCTAATGGGCCACGATCCCAGTATTGAAGACCACTACCACCGAGGCACCGAGGCCCAATCACCTTTAAGTAAGGTTTGGGTCCGACAATCTCAACTAAGGTATAAATAAATATTGAAACTCATTCCTTAAGGTAGCCCCTATTATCTGAGTAATACTACAATATGTATTCTCTCAACTACTTCACTATCCGCACGTCTGACTTGAGCATTGGAGGGGTTTCCGCCGGATCAACCCCCGGCCTAGTTCACATGTTCTCTGTTCGCAGGTATCTTAGGACCATCTAACTCGTGAGTCAGTCATCCACTTTGTTCTCCTAGCTCATCCTATCTCATTTATTTAAGGTGATTTAATTCTAGCATCATCAAATCTTACAAGAAATCTTAACAGATTTAGGAGTGACTAGTATTATATATGGTCAAACATTTTAAAATTTTGACTTATAATATATTATATTGATGCAGTTAATATTTTATAATCTTATTATATATGAGAACACTTTTAAATTTATGGAAAATTAATAATTAGTTTGCTAAATATTGGAATTTGCAGGTTGACCAAATTAACCAATTAATGTAACCGGTCAACAATTTGTCAACTATAAATTCAACTCCTCATTTCAATTTTATTTTTACCACATCTAAACATAATTAACATGGCTAGGGTTTCACCATTTTCCTGCACATTATTTATTGCATTGGTTGCAATAAAACTATGCATTATTGCCGCTTACAATGTTGTCGATTTCGGGGCAATCGGAGATGGAAAAACGGACTCGACGTCGTCGTTTCTCAAGGCTTGGGACGAGGCATGCAACTCGATTGTACCGGATGCTACGATGGTTGTTCCACCGGGAATATTCTTGGTGACACATATAACTTTTACGGGCCCGTGCAAAAGCAATAATACGAACCTCATAATATTTGGAACTATTATTGCTCCCGATGATTATAAATTCATTGGCTCTGACAAGTTTTGGATTGTGTTCCATCGAGTCCACTGGCTTTCGATCTTTGGTGGTACGCTTGATGCTAAGGGATCTAGTTTGTGGGCTTGCAAGAGAGCAGGAAATAACTGTCCGTTCGGAGCAAGGGTATATTGGTCATTTCACTTTCGAAATAGTAAAAATGTACTTTTTAAAAAAAAATTGAATTAATTTTTGAATTCGATGATTTGCAGTCGATAACGTTCCAATCGTGCAGCTATGTGCTAGTCAGTGGTTTGAAATCGATCAATAGCCAACGGATTCATATTTCTATCAATCAATGTTCGAATATGACTTTACGAAAATTGGTAATAATTGCTCCGAGTCAAAGCCCTAACACGGATGGAATCCACATTGCATCTTCGACGGGTATTACAATTAGCAACAGCAGTATTGGGACAGGAGACGACTGCATATCCATCGGGCCGGGCTCCAAGAGCTTGCTGATGGACCAAATCGCATGTGGCCCGGGCCATGGCATCAGGTAAAAATCATTATGAAATTTTTGAATTTCGTCGATTATGATATTGTTTTTTATAAACTATGATTTTTATTTCCCGAAGAAAATTCGTATCGGGAGGGTCAAATTAAATATAAAATTTTCAGACATAATGATTTTCATTTTGAAAGTATCACTTTTTTTTTCGAAAAAAATGTATTTACAAGATCAATATCAATATTGTGTATTTATTATGTAATTCATATTAGGAATTAACATAGTTATAAATGTTTTGAGTTATATGTGGATTCTTATAAACAAATAAAAAACAACTCTATAATAATGCTTTTCATTCTGATTTTCGAAATCCAATTTTTATTTATATATGTTTTGATTTTTTTTTGGATATGAATCCCAATTAAATATTTTTAATTTCCAAAAAGTTTAAATTTTCGTAAATTCTAAGTTTGATGATATATCCGTTTGATTTTCAGTCATCTTTGTAATTCGTAAGCTATCTATTTTGCCTCGATGTTAGCAATTCGTGCTCCTTATGGCGAAAGAAAATTCTATCTTTATGCCATAGATATACATACAACAATAATAAATAAGTGTAGATTTACCCAGGGCACCTATATGGTTGGTTGCGGGTTCCTTCATTACAAAAAAAAAAAGAAAAATGATCTTGATTTGTTTTCTAATTATTAATTGAATAAACAGCATCGGAAGTCTAGGTAGGAAAGCAATGGAGGATGGAGTGCAAGATGTGAACGTCACAAACTCAATCTTCACAATGACTCAAAACGGCGTTCGGATAAAGTCATGGCCGAGTGCAAATGACGGATATGCCCGAAATCTTTTATTCAAGAATCTCATCATGCAAAACGTCTCGAATCCCATGATCATCGATCAAGACTATTGCCCTCACAAGAATTGTCCTCAAAAGGTACGTACGTACATATATACCCAACGCACATTTGTAATTGCGAGTTTCTTTATTCAAAAAAGGGAAAATTACAGTTTACATCCGTCAAGTTTGCACCGATTTCACATTTAGTTCTTCATGTTCACAAAAAACACATTTGGTCCCTCATATTACAATAATTCAACACTTTTGGTCATTTCCGTCAATTTACCGTTAAGCCAGTGATGGGCACAAGCTTGATTCCCGTTAGTAGTAACGGAAAATTGACGGAAATGACTAAAAATATTGAATTTTTGAAATATCAGGGACCAAATGTGACTTTTTATAAATATTGGGGACCAAATGTGGAATAATGCAAAAACTTGAGGGGTGAAAATTGTAATTTTCCCTAAAAAAACACTATAGTCTATAGAAAATAAAAATGGTTTTATTAATCTAGAATACGTGACATCTATTTCTACCACATAAATTCCAAATTTTATATTTGTATATACACGGGGAAGAGAGGCGATTCGAATTTATTTTATTATTTTTACTATTTGTTGTTTACATATTTCTTAACGAAACGGGAAATATATATTTGTGCAGATCAATTCTGCGGTAAAAGTGAGCCAAGTGACATTCGAAAATATAACGGGAATATCATGGACACGGAAAGCGTTTACATTGCGTTGCAGTTCGACTAGTCCTTGTGATGGAATACAATTGAAAGATATTGATCTCCATTATGTAGACCATTGGACGAAGCCTACACAATCGGATTGTGAAAACGCGCAAGTTTCTTTTACCGGTTATGTCTTCCCTTATAATAGATGCTTATAGATTCGAGGGAGTTCCTTTTGTAATTTATTTTGCTCGTTTAATTGAGAGCATTTTTATAATAATACACACTTTCAATGGGTAATTATAGTTTTGATCTGTATAAAACGACCTCAAGCATTAATATTCACCATGATTACAGTCCTCAAACTTACGCATACAGTAGAACCTTGATAAATTAATACTCGATAAATTAATAATCTCGTTTAAATAATAAATTTTCTCGGTCCCGACTCGGGGACAACGTGGGAAAATTACATTTTTCGTCCTCATACTTTACCCACTTTTTCAAAACTGTCCCTAAACATTTTGAAGTTACAATAGTAGTCCTTAATCATTGCCATTTTTTGACAGAATTGGTCCGCCCTTAATTTTTGCCGTTAAGTTGGATGGAAAATGGCATGTGCCTCTCACATGCCTTCAATATAGAACACTACATGAAAATGGACTTTTAACAAAACGCATTGCGTCTTGTTAAAACAGATTTTTCATAATTAAAACTTGATTGAAATTCGAAATTATAAAAATTCCAAAAAAACAAAATCGATATATATTGTTTTAAAATATTTTGAGAAATATTCTTTAAACAATTGAACCATTTTTAAAAAAATGAAATATTGCTTTCCAAAATCAAGATTTTCGGAATTCAAATGAAAACAATGTTTCAAAATAAAATAAAAATTCAATCCGAATAGGTGGGATAAGAAACCTCCATTTCAATCTTCACCATAATTTAATAATGTAAAACTCGATAAATTGTTTCAAACTATTTTTAGAAGTATTGTCTAAAATAATTATATAATGTTTTAAAACCGGAATTTCTTGAATCCAAGAAAATTATTGTTTTAAATAAAATAAAAATCTGATCGTAATAGGCGGAGTAAGAAAACTCCGTTTCAATTTTCACCCTTATTGAATAATTTAAAACTCGATATTTTTTTTCAAACTAAATTCAGAAATATTGTTTAAAAAATCATAATATTGTCTAAAAAATAATATTGTGTTTTATAATCGATTTTTTTGGAAAATGAATGAAAATATTATTTAAAAATAAAATAAAAATTCGATCAAACTAGGCTGCATAAGAAAACTCCTTTCCAATTTTCACCCATATTGAATGATTTAAAACTCGACATATTGTCTCACAATTGAGATTTTTGGAATTGACTAGAGGTGAAAATTGGAATGGAGATTTCTAATTCCCCAATTCCTATTGGATTTTTTATTTTGGTTTGAAACGATATATTTTAATTGAATTCCAAAAATGCCGATTTTGGAACAATATTTTAAAATTTTAAACTATATTTTGATTTTTTAAACAATATTTCCGAAATGAGTTGATTTTCTTGGAATTTACGTGATTTCGATTTTATATTAAATTTTAATTAAAAATAATAATTATAAAAAATATGTTTTAACAAGACACAATGCGTGTTGTTGAAATTCCATTTTCATGTAGTGTTGTAAATTGAAGGCATGTGAGAGACACATACCATTTTCCATCCAATTTAACGGCAAAATTTAACGGCGGACCAATTCCGTCAAAAAATGGCATGATTAAGGACTACTATTGTAACTCCAAAATGTTTAGGGATAGTTTTGAAAAAGTGAGTAAAGTATAAGGACGAAAAATGTAATTTTCCCGGGACAACGTGGTAAATTAATAATTCGCTAAATTTATAAGATAATATACATTCGAAAATTTTAAGAAGCCCCATTAAATATATAAATTAATAATTTATAAAAATAATTTTTAAATTACATGGTACAATACATATTTTATAGATCTATGAAGGTTTAATAAAATATGATTTAATTGCCGTTTGTTTCTTGTTGAAGTTCACACTACCATCAATCTCGTGCCTCACTTTTGTTAACATTGTTAGAACTTGTGGTATAGCTTACGCATAACTCAACATGAAATTGTTCAATACCATTTTTGCTTTAAGAGCTTGCGTTCGTGAAACAAGCTCTATAGTGCATTGAACTCATGATACAATAAATAATATACACGTAAAAAATTAAAAACATGTATTTATTGAAAATAATAATAAAAATAGTTTCATAAATCAATAAATTATTAATTAATATATAAATTAATAATTATTAATTTATCGATAAGTTAATATTTCCCTAAACTAATGGAATTTTGATGGTCGCATTAATTTATAGAAGTTTAACTGTATATATATTAGCATTTTTGGTTTTATCGTCAAATCGGGTGTTAAGTTGGACGGAATAGTCATTTGCGTCTCGCGTGCTCTTCTCCAATTTCCACCCTGGTGTCTCTTGTCCGATCCCCGTCGAACAAATCTATTTGTGCCTTTTCTCATGCGTTTCTCGACCTCCTTGTGAGGATAGCTTGTCTTGATTATTCCCTTGTCAAAAAGTGTCAAAAATGTCTACATGAGGCGCGCATGAAGATTACATCCAACTTAAATCGGAAACTTGACGAACGAACCAAAAAGTGTTAAATAATGGGAATTATTGAAATAATTTGCACCGGATCCATAACTATTTACTTCACTCTACAAAACTGCTTCTGTTTTTAGTGCACAACAATTTAATGAGATTGGCTTAGTATAATACTCCATATATAAAACTTACTCTCTCTTTTTCATTTTATTTGTCGTTCTGAGCTCATGTACGCGTATTAAGAAAGTCAATAAATATGCATGGATTCTAGAAAATTAAAATCATAATAAAATGACTAAAAAATCACTCTCGTTAATTACTTCATCATTAATTCTCTTAATAGTAGTCAGGGCAAATTTGAGAGAAAACACAATAAATGTTCCATTGGTATTGTAAAATGACAATTATTTTGAAATAAAAAAAAATCTCGAAAGACAAATAAAATAGGAAGGAGAGAGGATATATATATATATAACTGAACCTGTGTGTACTGTTAATAATGACAAATTGACAGTGCTGACTTTATCCCATGTAGCATCACTTGACTTTTGTATTTAATATAATCATGGTTAATTAAAAAAGAAAAGTATAGCAATAGAGTTAATCAGTTAATATGATTCTAATTTCTAATCAGATTCCAAATTACTAACCGTATATGGTTAGTCAGTTACCATGGTTGGAAACAAAGGGAAGAAAAAAAATAATGGAAGAAGCCTCACCTTCTCACCATCTGCAAATTTGCTCAAAAAGTCCTCTCTCTCTCTCTCTCTCTCTCTCTCTCTCTCTCTCTCTCTCTCTCTCTCTCTCTCTCTCTCTCTCTCTCTCTCTCTCTCTCTCTCTCTCTCTCTCTCTCTCTCTCTCTCTCTCTCTCTCTCTCTCTCTCTCTCTCTCTCTCTCTCTCTCTCTCTCTCTCTCTCTCTCTCTCTCTCTAAAACAATGGCTGGAAAAGCTGTGCTAGGAGCTGCCATAAAAGTTCTACTTCAAAATCTGATCTCAATTTTGAGGGAGCAAATTAGCTTCTTTGGAGATTTCAATGAAGACTTGAAAAGGCTAAAAGTCTCCATCTCGACGATACAGAGTTTCTTGAACGATGCGGAGAAGAAGCAATTCACCGATGAAACTGTCGAACGCTGGTTAAGGAATCTCAAACGTGTGGCTTTTGATGCCGGTAATGTCTTGGATGAGCTCAACTATCAACTTCTCTCCAAGAAACTTCATACCGATAACACAACAAAGACAAAGGTACGAGGCTTCTTCCCACACAATATTCATCGTCTAGAAATGGCACGTAAAGTCAACGATATCATTAAGAATTTTGAAGAGATCAACGACGAGGCACGCAAATACGGCCTTCAAAACGCTTTGGATGCAGATGTAAATGCTCGTTTTGACGGAATAGGCCCATCTGCAGGTCTAGAAATTGATTCGTTCAGTATTGATACGATTTTTCTTGCAAGAGAAAACGACGTGTCTGAAATAGTGAAGATGATGACTACTCTTCCGAATGATCAAGTACTCTCTATCCTTCCTATTTTCGGGATCGGTGGGCTCGGAAAGTCAACGGTAGCAAGACAAGTATTTAATCATGAAAAGATAAAGACTCATTTTGCTAAGTGTATTTGGGTGCATGTTTCTGAAAATTTTGATGACACAATACTTTTCAAGAAGATTCTTATATCGTTAACAGAAACAAATGCCGAATTTAGAAATAAACAAACTCTTCTTGAAACTCTTCAAAGAGATTTGGGAACTGCAAGATTTCTACTTGTCCTCGACGATGTTTGGAACGACAGTAAAGAAAAATGGGATGAATTTATTATCGCCTTGATTAGAATTTGTTCTGCTACAGGAAATGGTATCATTGTTACTACGCGACGCGAAAGTGTTGCTTCACTGGTCACAACACTTCCTATTTACATACTAAATAATTTGTCAGAAGACGAGTGTTGGTCAATAATCAAATCAAAAGTTGTTGGAGAAGGTAATATTCCATCAGAATTTGAGACAATTGGAGTATGCATTGCGAAAAGATGTCGTGGTTTGCCATTGGCAGCCAATGTGGTCGGCGGATTGTTGCGTGGTAAGTCGATTGATGATTGGCTCTTTGTTGAAAAGAATTGGGTCTCGGATATAGGAGATGAAAAATCTGTCTCCAATATTTTGAAACTAAGTTTTGATCATTTATCGTCACCGTCGCTCAAAATGTGCTTTGCGTATTGTTCGATATTTCCTAAAGGATTTAACTTTGAAAGGGAAAAATTGGTTGAACTTTGGATGGCAGAAGGATTTCTTGGAGGAAATGATGATATGGAGATTGTGGGCTACGAATTCTTTAATCTTCTCTTACAAAACGCTTTGTTGTTACAATTTGTACTGACAAAAGTCTATCACAATATAATGTATTATAACATGCACAGTATTGTGCATGATCTTGCATCCTCTATTTTAAATTTAATCGACCAAGCTCGGTACATAGGGATGCAATCTATTAGTGGTGAATCGCGTGTTATGCCAAAAGAACAAGCAAGTTGTCTTCGTACATTACTGTTCACTGGTAAAATATGTGATCTCATATTCTCAGAGTTCAAATCGTTGCACGTTTTAATTCTGAATCCGGGTGATGGTGTTTCGAATGTTGTTGAAGAGTTGCCAAGTTCCATTAGAGAGCTAGTACATTTGAGATGTCTCGACGTTTCAGGCAGAAGAATTATGTGTTTGCCAGACTCTATTGGTGAACTCTATCACTTGCAGACGTTAAGAACGTATGCTTATTTGAAGAAGCTACCGAATACGTTGAAGGACTTGATTAGTTTGAGACATCTCCACATTCGTCGTGGGATAAAATTGCCTCCAGAGATGGGAAGATTAACTTCTCTTCGAACACTACAGTACTTTGGAGTGGGCGATGAAAAGGGTCGTAGAATTGGTGAGCTCGGAAGCTTGAAGAATCTGAAAGGGGAACTGGAGATTTATAATCTTGAAATGGTCCGCGACAAAGAAGAGTCTCTTAGAGCACATTTATTTCAGAAGCCAAACATAGTCAAGTTAAAGCTCGAGTGGGGTTTTGAAAATAGAGAAGGTGAAAATAATGATGAGAATGTTCTGGAAGGCCTCCAACCCAACCCAAATTTAAAGAGCTTATGCATTCGTCGATTTGGAGGAAGACGTTTGCCATCATGGTGTTCAAAAATGTCGGGGCTTAATAATTTGACGGAGATAACAATTGAAGGTTGCACAGAATGTGAACAAGTTCCAACGCTAGGGCACTTGCCACATCTCAAGAATCTTTATCTAATTAGCTTGGAGAATGTAGAATCCATAGGTTTGTCATTCTATGGAATCGACAAATACGGTAGCACATCTAGTAATACATGTGTTACCGTATTTCCGGCACTTGAAAGGCTCGAGTTGTTCAATATGTCGAAGTTGACAGAGTGGTTAGAAGCAGAGCTAACACCGAATGCAACCGAGAATCGACGACCATCTGATCGAGTGGTGGTATTTCCTTGCCTTGAGCACTTGATGGTTAAAGATTGCAAACAATTGACGAGTGCTCCAAGTCATTTTCCATGGCTTAAAGAATTGGAGATTTCTCAAATGCACAATGGGTTACCTCTCGTGAGTATATGTGGGGTCGAATTATTCTCGCTTACGAGACTCCGAATCGATTCAATTGATGGATTGGTGTGCCTCCCGGATTGGCTATTCCGTAACAATCGAAATCTAATGTGGTTGCAGATAACCCATTGTTCGAGACTGAGAGAATTACCTAACGATCTATACAGCCTCGTCGCTCTTGAGATATTGAGTATCGAGTATTGTCACAATTTGAAGACAATAACACATCCGCACGAATCAAATAGCGCGCAATTATTAGGTTTGACGTGCCTTCGCGAATTGAGTATTAGGGGATGCCGCGAGCTAACCAATTTGCCAAGTGAAATGATGGATTCGTGTGCGTCGTCCCTCGAGAAGTTGCAATTGTTTGAATTGAGCAAGATGAATATGGAAATGCTGATCGGGAGCTTGCAGAAAATGTCTCGTCTCACCGACTTGACAATTGATCAGTATAACTCACATTCGTCAGTTGTCGATGCCATCTTGAAAGCATCACCAAAATCTCTTCGGAAATTAGACTTGTACGGAACACATTATTCTCAATACCTACCGAATCAACTTCAACATCTCACTACTCTTTCTGAGTTATGTTTATGGGATTTCGGAGAGATGGAAGAATTGCTCGAATGGTTTGGGAACAACGGCAACAACTTGTGCTCGTCTCTACAAAAGTTGACTCTATGCTACTTCAAGAAGTTGCGCCGCTTGCCGTCTAAGGAAGCAATGCTACGTCTTTCCAAATTAAGATATTTATACATTTACGATTGTCCGATGTTAAATCTGAAAAGAATACGAGACGGAGATGATTCTGAGTGGCCCAAGATTTCGCATATCCCCTACGTCTCAATGAATGGAATTCGAATTCCGACTAATGCCCACTAAACCACGGACTAATGCTCACTAAACCACGACCAACCGTAGGACTAGTGGTAGGGGTGTGCACGGGTCAGTACGGCTCGATTTTTGGGCCATTTCTTTTCTACTATAATTCGCCCAACTTTTTTAAAAATTGGGGTGATTTTTGGATTTATTTCAGAACTACAATAAAGCGTCACTTGAAATTACGCCTTATAACAACCGTCGGATTGGGCTTTGATCAACGGTCCACTGTCTCATTTTGTCATCTCAATCGAACGGCCATATTTAAACTGGACGATCCAACGGCTCTTAAAAGGCGTCACTTGAAATGACAGCCTTTGACATGCCACACAGGTCAAAGGCTGTCATTTCAAATGACGCCTTTTAAGAGCCGTTATTTCGTTTATATCAAATGGCTGGAATTGAGCTGAATTTTTTTTTATTTTTCTTAATTCTTTTTATTGTTTTTAAATTGTATACTTAGTTGAACTTTCATTTTAATTTAATTATATGTTGTAATTTAAATTTTCTCTTTCATTTATTTATCTAATTTGTTTTATAATTAACTATAAAATAATACAAAATTAATTAATTAAGCTAACAAAATAATTAATAATTTCTTGCATAAGTTATAAATAAAGAACATTTTTTTCAATTATATTACTTTTTTTAAACTTATATTTTATTAAATAAAAATAATAAAATGCCTAATTATTAAGAAATTATTTTTTTCTCTCCAAATGCTTTAGTATGAAAATATTAATAAAATTCCTAATTATTAAAAATATACTTTTTTATATACTGCCATGAAATAACTAAAAAAGGAAGAAATTCAAAATGAAAAAAATAAAAGATTTTATTTTGAAAAAAAAAAATAAGTAATTAAATGTTTTGAAGAAAAAAATAAAAATATCAAAATTTCCCAAGTAAAATTGACCGAAAATGTTAAAACAATATAATAGAAAATGGCTCAAACAAACTCTTATATTTATAGAAACAAATTAAATAAACTAAAGGATTTGGAGAGAAAAAAAATATTTCCTAATAATTAGCTTACTCATTTCCTTATGCCTTTGTTTAAAAGGGTGCAAATTTAGACCGGATGGCCTGTTTTAATAGGAAAATCGGATGCCATAAGGTAATTGACACGTGGATAGTTTAAATAAAATATAATTAGGATTCTAATAATTTGAAAAAAAAAGAAAAAGGAAAAAGAAAACCCAATATAACTCGTAATCCCTCTAACCCTAATTATAATCATCGTGATTTATTAAGAATTAAGATTTAACAGTGTCACATGTCAAAAAATTAGTGGAATCTGATTTATATTAAATATCGGCTGATCCGCTCAGAATTTAATCTCTTGTTTAGGACCGGCAATTGAGCCGAACCTAATCGAAGCCCGATGGCTTGGTCTGATTATATTTGAGTCGAGCCTAGTTTTCAGTAAGTCGGATCGAGTTTGAGCCATTTTACTAAACCCGATTTATTTATCATGAGCCGAGTTTGAGCCTACTATGACTCAACCCGAATAAGGCCCGACCGATTAGGATAATAATAAAATATATAATATATTTATTATTTTAATACTATGACTCAACATATAACTTATGACCGTATAAGATTATTTGATTTTGCGAAGAAAAAATTCAAAATAAAAGGAATTAAGTAGTGACGGTGGCAATAACTTAAATATGAATCAAATGCAACACATCACCGAGATTTGAGAATATAAAATATTTCCAATAATAAGAGTTACTAATTTTTTTTTACTTTTTTCGGTTTTATTTTCAATTTTTTCCAATAACTTTCAAAGATCGTTTAGGGTTTTTTTTTAATATAGCTTCAATGGAGGTAAATCTTGTTCATCACTTATTTTTAATAAAAAAATTACTCATTACAATTATATAGTAATGGGGCCCGATATAAAACCGAAACCCGAAAAAATACATGAGCCGAACTTGAGCCTATTTTAATGAGGCCCGATGACATGTGAGTTTGAGCCTATAGTAACGAGGCCCGATGGTATGTGAGCTTGAACCGACCCAAGCTTAGCTCACATGACCCGATTGTCAGCCCTACTCTTGTTTAAATGGACTTGGTGTCTTAGTTCGAAAAGGAGAATCTTTTATTATTCTTGTTTTGGCTAAGAAATAATGTTTAATTATTCTCATTTATTTGCAGAAATAGTTTTTGAAGTATTATTATTCTAATTTCTAATTAGCATAGTGGACAACAACAAGTCAGGGATTTAGCTTAATTAGTGGTGGGCATGTATTTGAAGTATTGGTCCAATTAGGATATGCCATTATTTCAGTACAACGTAAGATTGAACCTGTCTATGTGTTTGAAATTTTGACAATGACTACTTTATGGCAAGGAGCAACACTTGACTTTTGTATTTTAATCATGGTTAATTAAAAAAGAAAAAAAACATATAGCAATAGAAATAAAAAAATAATATGATTCTAATTACAAATTACCATGGTTGGAAATAAGGGATGGAAAAAAGAACCGAGGAAGCCTCACTTCTCACCATTCACAATTTGCTCTCTCTCTCTCTCTCTCTCTCTCTCTCTCTCTCTCTCTCTCTCACACACACACACACACACTTTAAAGAAAACAATGGCGGCAGAAGCTGTGCTAGGAGCTGCCGTAAAAGTTCTACTTCAAAATTTGATCTCAGTTTCAGGGGAGCAAATCAGCCTCGTTCGATATTTCAAGAAAGACTTGAAAAAGCTAAGAGATTCCGTCTCCACGATCCAGAGTTTCTTGAACGACGCGGATAAGAAGCAAGTCAACGACGAAGCTGTCAAACAATGGTTGAAGAAGCTCGAAAGTGTTGCTTACGATGCGGATAATGTCTTGGATGAGCTCCACTATCAACATAAGAAAATCCGGGCTCAACGCAAAATGAAGAAAAAGGTACGGGACTTCTTCCCATACCCCATTCGCCATCCCGAAATTGCACGTAAAATCAAGAAAATTAATAAATACTTGAAAGAGATCAACGACGAAGCCAACAACTATGGCCTTCAAAAGGCAGTGGTGGGTGCATATGCACCTGTTGATGGACCATTAGGCCCATCTGCAGGCGTAGAAACTAATTCTTTCGGTAATGATTCGATTTTTCTTGGAAGAGAAAATGACGTGTCTGAAATTGTGAAGAAAGTGACTACTATTCCAAATGATCAAGTATTCTCTATTCTTCCAATTGTCGGGATGTGCGGAGTGGGCAAGTCAACGGTAGCTAGAGAAGTGTTTGATCATGAAACGATAAAGAGTTATTTTACTAAGCGTTTTTGGGTGAATGTTTCTGAAAATTTTGATGACGTGATTCTTTTAAACAAGATTCTAACATCCTTAAAGGGAAAACACGTCGAACTTGGAAATAAAGAAGCTCTTCTTGAAAAGCTTCAAAAATATTTGAAAACTAAAAGATTTTTACTTGTTCTCGATGATGTTCGGAATGGTAGTCAGGAAAAATGGGATGATTTTATTAATTCATTGAGAATAATTAGTTATGGGACAGGAAATGGCATTATTGTTACTACGCGACTTGAAAATGTTGCTTCCTTGGTCAAAACACTTCCTATTCACAGACTAAATAACTTGTCAGACGATGAGTGTTGGTCCATAATCAAAGCAAAAGCTGTTGGACAAGGTAATATTCCATCAGAATGTAAGCATGTTGGATTATCTATTGCAAAACGATGTCAAGGTTTGCCGTTGGTAGCCAAAATGGTTGGAGGTTTGTTGCATGATAAGTCGGTTGACGAGTGGCAGTCTATTGGAAAGGATTGGCTCTCGGAATTAGGAGATGAAAATTCAATTTCCAAGATTTTAAAATTGAGTTTTGATCATTTGTCGTCACCATCACTAAAGAGTTGCTTTGCATACTGTTCGATATATCCTAAAGGATTTCACTTGAATCGGGAACGCTTGGTGGAGATGTGGATGGCAGAGGGATTTCTTGGAGGAAATGATGATATGGAGATTTTGGGCAACAAATTTTTCAATCAACTTTTAGAGAACTCCTTGTTGTTACAAGTTATGAGGAAAAACGACTATTATTACATGCACGATCTTGTGCATGATCTTGCATCCTCTATTTTAAATTCAAGCGACCAAGTTCGGTACATAGGCTTCCAATCAATTAATGGTGACTCGCGTGACATCTTAAAAGAAAACGCAAGTTATCTACGTTCGTTACTGCTCAATGATAAAATGTGCGCTCTCATGTTCTCCGAGTTCAAATCCCTGCATGTTTTAATTCTGATACACAATTTTCGTGAAGAGTTGCCAAGTTCGATCGGAGAGCTAATACATTTAAGATGTCTCGACATTTCAGGCACCGTAATTAAATGTTTGCCGAACTCTATCGGTGAACTCTATCACTTGCAGACGTTAAGAGCACCTAAGGTTTTGAAGAAGCTTCCAGACGTAGTGAAACACTTGATTAGCTTAAGACATCTCCACATTCCTCAAATTGAATTACCTCCAGAGATGGGAAGATTAACTTCTCTTCGAACACTACCGTACTTTGGAGTGAGCAATGAAAAGGGTTATGGAATTGGTGAGCTCGGAAGCTTGAGTCTCCAAGGGCAACTGAAGATTTATAATCTTGAAAAGGTGCACGACAAAGACGTGGCTAAGAGTGCAGATCTATTACGAAAGCCAAACATATTGAAGTTAACGCTTGAGTGGAGCTCCGTAGTAACGCTTGAGTGGAGTCCCGGGAATAGAGACAACGAGGGTGTGTTGGAAGGTCTCGAACCCCACCCAAATTTAAGGAGCTTATACGTTTGTGGATTCAGAGGAAGATTTCTACCATCATGGTGTTCAATGCTTAATAATTTAACGGAGATAGGTCTTGAAGATTGCAAAGACTGCGAACAAGTTCCAACGCTAGGGCACTTGCCACATCTCAAGAATCTTTATCTGATTAACCTGAGGAAAGTGAAATCCATAGGTTCGTCTTTTTACGGAATTGAAAATTGTAGCACGTCCGGTAATACAATTACTGTATTTCCGGCGCTTGAAAGGCTCGAGTTGGTAGAAATGTGGAGGCTGACAGAGTGGTTAGAAGCAGAGTTGATGCCAAATCCAACAGAGAATCGACGACAATCTGATCAAGTGGTACTCGTGGTATTTCCTTGCCTTGAACATTTGATGGTGAAAGATTGCGGGCAACTGAAGAGTGCTCCTAGTCATTTTCCATGCCTGAAAGAATTGGTGATTTATAAAATGCATAGAGGATTACCTTTGTGGAATATATGCGGGATCAAATTATTCTCGCTTACAATACTCCGAATTGATTTAATTAATGGCTTGGTGTGTCTCCCAGGTTGGTTATTCCGTAATAATAAAAATCTCTCGGAGTTGTGGGTATCGTGTTGTCCAAAACTGAGAGAATTACCGGGTGATCTACACAACCTCACTGCTCTCGAGATATTGAGTATAGACGATTGTCCAAACCTGAAGACAATAGCATATCGACACGAGTCAGACAACGAGAAATTGTTGGGATTGAGTTGCCTTCGTCAATTGAGCATTACTAACTGCGGAGGGCTAACCCATTTAGCAAGTGAAATGATAGAGTCGTGTGCACCGTCCATCGAGAAGGTCGAATTGCGTTATCTGAGCAATTTAAGGGTTCATATGGGAATGCTGATCGGTAGTTTGCAGAAAATGTCTCGTCTGTCGGTGTTGACAATTTGTGGTGTTAAGATGATAAGCGCTGATGTTACGGTAAACGTCACGGCCAAATATCTTCGTATATTACAATTGGAGGGGGTGGGGCATAGTGGGGAACTACCGGATCAGATTCAACATCTCACTGCCGTTTCTTCGCTGTACTTGAGTTATTTTGGGGAGATGGAAGAATTGCCCGAATGGATTGGGAACAACAACAACTTGTCCTCGTCTCTGCGGATATTATCGCTATGCCACTGCAACAAGTTGCGTCGTCTGCCGTCTAAGGAAGCCATGCTACGTCTCACCAAATTAACCAAGTTATGCATCTCCCGATGTCCGATGTTAAACGTCAAATCTGAGTGGCCCAAGATTTCGCATCTCCCTTACGTCGAAGTGGAACGACGGCAAATTCCAACTAATAAGGCATATATACAACACAGATAAGGTCTAGAGAAGCAGCAGCATCAGTTGTTTGGACATTGAATAATTAATTTTTTTTATTAGTATTATTTTTTTCTATTTTAATTCGGAATGATAAGGTTGTGTTGTATTACATTCCATCTCCAAACAGATTGCTTTCTCTTCCATATTGTTTTTTAGGCAAATTACGGCCAACCCCGCCTCCTGTTTGGATAATTACAGCCACCCCCCTCAACTATGTATTATCTTACGAAAATACCCCTAAGTAAATTTAGGGATGTTAAATCGGTAAAATCGAACCGAAATTTCGGTACGCCAACATTTCATACCATTTACCAAACTGAATATACGATTTGGTACGGTAAATAACCGAATTACATAAAATTTATGTAAAAATATTTAAAAGGAGGGGGTGGCTGTAATTACCCAAACAAGAGGGGATTTTTCGTAATTTGGCCACACCTCAAGGGTTGCCGTAATTTGCCCTTGTTCTTTTTTCTATGTAAAAAAATCTGGTAAATTTTTTTGTGGTTTTATCGGATGGATCAAATGCGATAAACGTAGCATAACCATCGGAAGAAAGAATCTCCTATCATGCATCAGACATTAGTAAACCAAATCTACTATATTCCAACAAAACATTGCATGAAAATTCACAACATTATAGACTCCGATAAATAAAACAAAACCGAGTATAATATCATTAAATCTTAACAGCGAGTTAGGGCCTCTATCACAAACACAAACGTCGCATTATTTAGGCGAGACTAATCGAAAATCTTCTCTTGATATTTAATTAAACTTGAAAAGGTCAAGAACTTACAGTGGATAAGAGTATCCACGGAGGTACCTTGAATCAACTCCTGAGTCCTGATTCACGTACTAGTGCAATTCTCCCAGTTCGAGCCACCTGCAATATATTAAGCAAAAAATATCAAACATCGAAAATTACAAATACCAATACCGGTTTGTTTATATTTTACGAAGACTCCTTAAAAAATAGGTGCATTTTGAAAAGATAAAAACGAATGTCAAATGTGTGTTTGTAATTTAAAAACTAAATGCCAAGACATAGCCATTATACAACCGAATAAACCTAGAAGAGCAACCGAATATTTGATGCATCAAAAAGAGCCTACGAACGAGACTTACCTCACAAATGCCATATGGTTCCAACAATCTTTGCAAGGCAACCATCTTGTCCAAATCTCCAGTCAGCTGTAATAAATTCAAAACGTTTAATCCAAGAACAGGAAAAAAGAATATAAAAAAAAACATTTACCTCGAGGGTAATAGTGTGATCGGATACATCAACAGCTTTGGCTCTGAATATACTAGCAATATCGAGTACATTTCTGCGCGCAGCAGCATTCACAGCGATTTTAATTAACATCAATTCCCGCTCGGCAAAAGGCAAGTGTGTGAGATCCCGGACCTGTACATTATAAATTCACGGGTCATATATCTTATTCATAAGCACGCTACATTCAAGAATATGTTGGATATTTTGCGGAAGTACATAAAAAAAGAAAACCAAGGAAAATATAGGAAAGAGTTTTTAAGGCCAAGCTCTTATTAATAATTTTATTTAGTGAATTCTTGATTTCATGGGTTACAATTACAAAGGTAAAGACCCTTTAAATAGATAATAAAATGATTCTTGAAACTCTTGCCTAGATAATTAAAATGGATTTTCAAACTACCAAGTGCATGAATACTAAAGTGCATGAATATCAAAGTGCATTAGTTCCAACAGAATAACCCTCCTTCAGTCAATATGCAATATTAGCTTATTTACATTCTAGGGGTTATATGAGATAACCCCCTCATACAAATTCCTTAGAGGCATAAATCCATATTTTTATTTACTATTAGGGATAACCCCTCATTAAGGTTAATATCTAATTTACCCTTATTATATTCATAAAAATATAATTAAATTATTATTGCTAAAGTAAAGTATTTCAATTTCCTTTTGATTCTTTTTACAATCTTTTTGTAATTTTGATTTAAAAAATATATTTATGTTTTTTCAATTTTCATTTTTTTAATTGGTTGTTTTACCGCAAGTTTAACAAAAAATTGAAATCCACTACATACTCATTGAACACCACTATAAATTCATCTTTTACAATCTTTTCGTTATTTCGATTTAAAAAATATATATATATTTTTTCAATTTTCATTTTTTTAATTGGTTTTTTTACCGCAAGTTTAACAAAAAATTGAAATCCACTATATACTTATTGAAAACCACTATAAATTCATCGAAAACCACTATTCGATTAATGTAGAAATCAGTATGAAATTATCGTAATCAACTTTAATATTAATATAATACACTACAAACGTATCGAAATCGAATAAAATTTACATAATACACTACGAATTAACGTAATCCATTACAAAATTATCAAAATCCACTACATTAACGTAATATATGGATTGAAATCCACTACATACTCATTGAAAATCACTATAAATTCATTGAAAAACACTATTCGATTAACGTAGAAATCAGTATGAAATTATCGTAATCAACTTTAATATTAATATAATGACTACAAACGTATCGAAATCGAATAAAAATTTACATAATCCACTACGAATTAACGTAATCCATTACAAAAGTATCAAAATCCACTACAAAGTTATCAAAATCCACTTTATAGGTTAAAGTAATCCACTACAAAATTAACGTAATATATGGATTGAAATCCACTACATACTCGTTGAAAACTACAATAAATTCATCGAAAGCCAGTATTCGATTAAAGTAGAAATCAATATAAAATTATCGTAATCAACTTTCATCTCAATATAGTGCACTACGAACGTATCGAAATCGAATAAATATTTACATAATCCACTACGAATTAACGTAATCCATTACAAAATTATCAAAATCCACTACAAAGTTAACGTAATAACGTATCGAAATCGAATAAATATTTACATAATCCACTACGAATTAACGTAATCCATTACAAAATTATCAAAAACCACTACAAAATTAACGTAATAACGTATCGAAATCGAATAAATATTTAAATAATCCAACACGAATTAACGTAATCCATTACAAAATTATGAAAATCCACTACAAAAGTTATCAAAATCCACTACAAAATTAACGTAATATATGGATTGAAATCCACTACATACTCATTGAAAACCACTATAAATTCATCGTAAACCACTATTCGATTGAAAACCACTACATACTCATCGAAAACCACTATAAATTCATCGAAAAACACTACAAGCTTATCATCACCCAACATGGTCCCACTTGCTGCCATCACCCGCTTGTGCATGAATCTAAACCAAAGAAAAATAAGACAACAACGTGTCAATTTAATTCATTCACTAAAAAATGAAGAATTTAAAATCCACTATAATCTCGTCAAAACCCAGTACAAAAATTATCGAAATCCACTAAAATATTAACATAATCCACTACGAAATAAGTTAATCCACTAACAAATTACAACAAAAAGTATAATAACAAATACTCAAATAGTGACCGAAAACGTGAAGGAGCCTCAAAAGTATATTGAAAATCTCATATATATAATAGCTCATTCAACAATTCGACTAGTTGTCACTTCTATTTTGTTAACCATCGTGTAAAATTTATTTATGGATATAGAGAAAAAATGACAGCAACAAAAACAGCAGCAAACCAACATCTTAAACAGCAGCAAAACAACACGAAAACAACAGCAAAACAGCAACAAAATCAGCTGCAAATTAGGAGCCAAACATCAGTAAAGCCAAAAGAAAACAGCAGCAAAAACAGCAGCAAAAAACAGCAGCAAAAACAGCAGCAAAAAACAGCAGCAAAAAACAACAGCAAAGAAAATCAGCAAAATAGCAGCCAAACAATAGCCAAGCCAATTGCAGCTAAAAAATACAATAAATAAATTATAATTCTAAATTTTCAGAAAAAAATATCCAAAATTTGAGAATATTTTTGGAAATTATGGAATTTTCGATAATATTTAGTGTTTCACCTTATTAATTCGTATTGTATTCCTTACTAAAAATTATCAAATCTCAAAACCCAAACATGTTTGAAATCAAACATTATCAAATTTCAAAACCAAAACATGTTTGAAATCAGAAGAATTTTTGCACTCATTCACCGTTATCACAAAGTTATTCATGTGAATCAAGTTTTATATTTTTATGGAGTTCTCTTTTTTTCATGAATCAACATTAGTCTCTCTCTCTCTCTCTCTCTCTCTCTCTCTCTCTCTCTCTCTCTCTCTCTCTCTCTCTCTCTATATATATATATATATATATATGTACACACACACAGGGGAATGAAATTCCCCACAAATACGTACCTGGTCGAAACACCAATATCACGAAGAAATGTTCTGCACAAAAATCACTCACAAAGATCTGTTTGTCGATTCCAGATCCGATCGTCGGGATTAAGCCTTGTCATCATCGATTTTTCTGGTTTCGTCTTCTTTTGCGTTTTATGTCATGGTGGTCCTTTATCCGGCCGTCAAGAGAAGAAAAGCGGAAGAAATAGTGGGTGGATGGGGAAGATGGACATATCGGATTCCGCCGAGAAAAGAAAAACAGAAGAAAGAGAGAGCGGATGGTGGATGGATCGAGAGAAAGAGTGAGGGAGAGAAAACGTGTCTAGGGTTAAACGGCATGAGATTTGGGTGGGTTTGGTAAAGGGTATAATTGTACTATATATTTTAAAATTAAATTATGGATTTATCTCAAAGAGGTGAAAAAAGAATGGACCCCATCTAATAGGAAATGTCATATGAGGGGGTTTTGTCAAATAATCCCTACATTCTAAGGCCTCGTTCGATTGCCAAGATAAGATTAAATAATCTAATGAAACCCAAATAAATAATCTCGGCAATAATCGAATTATGGGTAAATAATCTACAAGGCAATAAAATACAGTTTCTCTCTGCGATTAATTAATCTTGGCATCTACATTAGTCGAATACAAAGAAATACGAAGCGTGGAATTAGAAATGCAATCATTCAATTTAGTGTAAAAGTATAATAAAGGATAACACGACAGTTTGTTCTCAAAATTGTGTATTTTTATTTTATTTTATTTTTTGGTCAGGTAACGAAGGAACCCGCAACTAACTATACAAGTGCACTGGGTAAACCTACATTTTCGAATAATAGCTTGCAAACCATAAGAGAGACGTAAACATGTATATTTACTGGCCGTTTGTCTCTCACTTCATTGGTATTCGTCGAAACAGAAAATATTTGGTTTTTTTTAACATTCCAAACTAAACATACAGATACATTGAAACAAATATTTTTTTGCAATAATATTATCTCATAATTCCCTGGGAAATTAGATGCTACACCTGGTTATTTACACCGTACCTGATGGATTTAAACCGTACGTAGACTTGATTAAATAACTATCCACTAAACACACATACACATGTGTGTGTGTGTGTGTGTGATTATGTTTAATCAAGTCTACGTACGGTTTAAATCCACCAGGTCCGGTGTAAATAACCAGGTGTAGCATAACTTCCGCTAATTCCCCTATGGCCGAAAATTCCAAGTCTCAAACCAATTTGGTGAAATCAGAATCCAAAATCTCCCAATTCAGGTGCCCTAACATTGAAATCCCCAAATCCAATTTCCCCAATTCTTGAAAACCCTAATTCCCATAATTAAAGACATAGTCCTCAAGTCCCCAATCGGCTATCCCTAATCCGAAAATCGAAAGCCCTAATCCCCAAAATCCAAAACCCTAACTCTGAAATGGCTTCCCTCACCATAAGGTTATGAAGAAATTAATTTTTATTTAAAGTTGAAGGGTTCATTTTGAATTGAATTAGTCGAACCACGTGGCATGATTTGATTTAGCTTACACATGAAGATGGTTAGTCCTTATTTATGCCTTTGTTTAGATGGCCGACTTGGTGTCTTACTTCAAAAAAAAAAAAGAATATGTTTTATTATCTGAAATGTTAAATGTTGTTTCAATTTGTTTTAATTAATTAAGAAGTCATGCTTTATTATTCTCATTTGTTTAATCATAAATTCTTTGTTTAGATGGAAACTATTTGTTACTCATTTTCGTATTGAACTTTGATTTTTCATAAAAATCAGATTAAATGTAACGAATTAACGATCAAATTAAATTAAATGAAATAATTAAAACGATGTAGTCGGGGAATAGATTTCGACAAAGACTCTATGCCTTGAACTAAAAACACTAAATCTTCTCTCTGAGTTACAAAATTAGGATCGGAATAATGCCTATATGAAATGAAAGCACGTCTTCTAACTAGGAGTCTTGTTTGCAGATATTCCGGCAGGTTTTAAACCGTTACAGAGAATGTCGCCCCTCGAAATTTAGAATCATAACTAAAATATTCTTACGATTCGAAACAATAATATTTTATAGAAATAATAATACCAATACTAATGTCCAACGACTTTCATTTTAATTTCAATCCCTTTTCATACTATAGATAAACTTAAATTGTCCAAGAACTTACATTCGGTTTTTCACCGGAAAGTTTTTGTTTTTATTTTTGTCGAACAAATTATATCAACTTATATGGATGGTAAAATAATTTATATATTTTTCTAAAACCTTAATAAATCTTTTTTTTTTTTTAAGAAGAAGAAGAAGAAACCTTAATAAATCTTTTGAAGAAATGGTTTTTTTTATGCGGTATAAGTCTAATTTCTAAGCATAGTGCACAACAAGTTAATGAAACGACTTAGTGGTTGGGATGTATAATGTATTGGAACCAATCCAGTATGTGCCATTATTTTATTACATATACCTATATAAAATTGAACATGTCTGTATAGCAGCACTTCACTTTTGTATTTTAATATAATCATGGTTAATTAAAAAAGAAGAGTATAGCAATTAAATTAATCAGTTTGTAATCAGGTTCAACATTACCAATCGTGTATGGTTAGTCAGTTACCATGGTTGGATCGAAACAAGGGAAGGAAAAAAGAACCAAAGAAGACTGATCACTTCTCACCATCTGCAGATTTGCTCAAAAAGTCCTCTCTCTCTCTCTCTCTCTCTCTCTCTCTCTCTCTCTCTCTCTCTCTCTCTCTCTCTCTCATACACATACACACCTACACTCAATCCTCAAGAAAACAATATAATGGCAGCAGAAGCTGTTCTAGGAGCTGCTGTAAAAGTTCTACTTCAAAATCTGATCTCAGTTTCGGGAGAGCAAATCAGCCTCGTTCGAGATTTCAAGAAACACTTTGAAAAGCTAAAAGGTTCAATTTCCATGATACAAAGCTTCTTGAACGATGCGGAGAAGAAGCAAGTCACCGATGAAAGTGTCAAACTCTGGTTAAAGAAGCTCGAACGTGTGGCTTTCGATGCCGATAATGCCTTGGATGAGCTCAACTATCAACTTCTCTCCAAGAATATTCTGACCGAAAACACAATGAACACAAAGGTACGAGGTTTCTTCCCACACTACATTCATCGTCTAGAAATGGCACGTAAAATCAAAGACATCATCAAGAATTTGGAAGAGATCAACCACGAGGCTTGCATCTACGGCCTTCAAAAGGCGGTGGTGGGTGCAAATGCTCCTGCTGATGGATCAAGCCGCCAATCTGCTGCCAGAGAAACTGATTCATTCAGTATTGATCTAATTTTTCTTGCAAGACAAAACGAAGTGTCTGAAATAGTGAAGATAATGACTACTCTTCCAAATGATCATTCGGTATTCTCTATCCTTCCCATTGTAGGGATGGGAGGGCTCGGAAAGTCAACCGTAGCCAGACAAGTATTTAATCACGAAGAGATAAAGACTCATTTTGCTAAGCGTTTTTGGGTGCATGTTTCTGAAAGTTTTGATGACGCGATTCTTTTCAAAAAAATTCTTACATCTTTAACAAAAACAAACGCCGAACTTGGAAATAGACAAGCTCTTCTAGAAAATCTTCAGAGAGATTTGGGAAATGAGAGATTTCTACTTGTTCTCGACGATGTTTGGAATGACAATCATGAAAAATGGGATGAATTTATTGTTCCTTAACAAGAATTAGTTCTGCTACGGGAAATGGCATCATTGTCACTACACGACTTGAAAATGTTGCTTCACTGGTGAGAACACTTCCAATGTGCAAACTAAACAACTTGTCAGAAGATGAGTGTTGGTCCATAATCAAATCAAAAGCAGTTGGCGAAGTTGATGTTCCATCGGGATTTGAGACCATTGGAGTATCTATTGCAAAAAGATGTCAAGGTTTACCGTTAGCGGCCAAAGTGGTTGGGGATTGTTGTGTGGTAAGTCGTTTGATGAGTGGCTCTCTATTGAAAAGAATTGGCTCTCGGATTTAGGATATGAAAATTCAATCTCCAAGACTTTAAAACTGAGTTTTGATCATTTTTCATCACCATCACTCAAAAAGTGTTTTGCATATTGTTCGATATATCCTAAAGGATATGACTTCCAAAAAGAACGATTGGTTGAGTTGTGGATGGCAGAGGGATTTCTTGGAGGAAATGATGATATGGAGGTTGTGGGCAACAAATTTATTAATCTTCTTTTAGAGTACTCGTTGTTACAAGTTGTAAAGACAAATCGCCATTGCAATATAACATATTATAACATGCACGATCTTGTGCATGATCTAGCATCCTCTATTTTAAATTCAAGCGATCAAGTTCGGCACATTGGCCTACAATCTATTAGTGGTGAATCGTGCGTTGTCTTAAATGAACAAGCAAATTGTCTTCGTTCATTATTGACCAATGATAGAATATCCAATCTCATGTTCTCGGAGTTCAAATCGCTGCATGTTTTAATCCTGATGGGCTATCACGTTGAAGAGTTGCCAAGTTCAATTAGAGTGCTAATACATTTGAGATGTCTTGATATTTCGGACACAAGGATTAGATGTTTGCCAGACTCTATTGGTCAACTCTATCACTTGCAGACGTTAAGAGCGTGTCATCATTTGGTGAAACTGCCAAATACAATGAAACACTTGATTAGCTTGAGACATCTCCACATTCGTCGTGGGATAGAATTCCCTCCATGGGAAGAATAACTTCACTTAGAACGCTACCATACTTTGTAGTGAGAGATGAAAACGGTTGTGGAATTGGTGAGCTCGGAAGCTTGAAGAATCTCCAAGGTGAACTGAAGATTTATAATCTTGAAAAGGTGCGTGACAAAGAAGAGGCTATGAGAGCAGGTTTATTACAAAAGTCAAACATACTCGAGTTAAAACTTTCGTGGAGGGTTGGAAATAGAGAAGGTGAAAACAATGATGAGAGTGTGTTGGGCGGCCTCCAACCCCACCCGAATTTGAAAACCTTACAGATTTCCGGATTCAAAGGAAAAAGTTTCCCGTCATGGTTTTCAAAGATGTCGGGGCTTAATAATCTGACGGAGATAAGAATTGAAAGATGCAAAGAATGTGAACAAGTTCCAACGCTAGGGCACTTGCCACATCTCAAGAATCTTTATCTTGTCCGGCTGGAGAACGTGAAATCCATAGGTTCGTCATTCTACGGAAGTAGATCCAGTAATACACGTATCGCTGTATTTCCCGCACTTGAAAGGCTCGAGTTGTTGAATATGTCGAAGCTGACAGATTGGTTAGAAGCAGAGCTTATGCCAAATATAGAGCTTATGCCAAATATTGCAACTGAGAATCGACGAGTATCTCAAGAACTAGTTGTGGCCGCATTTCCTTGTCTCGAGTACTTGAAGATTAAAGATTGCAGGCAATTGACGAGTGCTCCAAGTCATTTTCCATGCCTTAAAGAATTACATATTTTTCAAGTGGACAGTGGATTGCCTTTGGCGAGTATATGTGGGATCAAATTAAATTCTCTTGAAAGACTCACAATTGATGGAGTTGAAGGATTGAAGTGTCTCCCAGATTGGTTATTCCGTAACAATCAAAATCTCTCGAAGTTGAAGATATGTGATTGCCCTAACTTAGTGCATCTAGTTCCGTGCTTGGAAGGTGGAAGAACTGCTCTTAGAGAGTTGTGGGTATCTTATTGTTCGAAACTGAGAGAATTACCGGATGACCTGCACGCCCTCAGTGCTCTTGAGATATTGAGTATTTCCAGTTGCCCAAATCTGAAGTCAATACCATATCCACACGAAACACATAATGATGATGATGGTGAGCAATTATTATCAGGCTTGAGTTGCCTCCGTCGATTGAGTATTACTTACTGCAGAGGGTTGACCGATTTTGCAATTGAAAATATGATCGAGTCGTGTGCGCCGTCCCTCGAGAAGTTGGAATTGTTTGAATTGACAAGTTTAAAGATGAATACGGGAATGTTGGTTGGGAGCTTGCAGGAAATGCCTCGTCTCTCGAGGTGGAAAATTGGTGATGTCGAGATGAAGATGACCTCTAAACAATGGACGGTTTATGGGCTTACTCATGATACGTACTCAATGACAGTTGTTGGTGCCATAATGAAAGCGTCATCAACCAAATCTCTTTGTAGATTAGAATTGCACGGGACGAAACATAGTGGGGGTTTACCGGATCAGCTTCAACATCACACCGGTGTTTTTGAGCTACGTTTATGGGGTTTCGGAGAGATAGAAGAATTGCCCGAATGTCTATTTGGGAACAACAACACCTTTTCGGTGTTATATATACAAAGCTGCAAGAAGTTGCACCGACTGGCGTCTAAAGAAGCCATGCTACGTCTCACCAACTTAACTCATTTATTCATCGACAATTGTCGGTTGTTAAATCTAAATACGAAACGAGGTGGAGATTCTGAGTGGCACAAGATTTCCCATATACCCAGAGTCACAGTGGATGGGCGTAGAATTCGAACTAATGCTCGGGGAAAGAAGTCATGATTAAGTCGGTACAATTAATCCCATCTTATATAATGAGATGCTTCACTTTACCGACCGGTCTCTTGAAAGAGATGGAGTTGTTCATTCAGAGATTTTGGTGGGGAGATGGGAATGGGAAAACGATGGCGTGGATTTCATGGAAGAAGATGTGCATGGCAAAATCGAGGGGAGGCATGGGATTTCGGGACTTGGAGACCTTCAATTCCGCACTACTAGCCAAACAGGGTTGGAGGATTTTGACAACCGGATTTGCTCCTATCTCTCAAGTATTTAGGGCCCGGTATTTCCGGCGGAGTGATTTTCTTAGGGCTGAAATTGGCACACGGCCATCCTCCACATGGCATGTATTTGAAAAGCCAGACCACTTCTCACTGACGGTCTTCAAAGGCAAATTGGCACACGACCATCCGCCACATGGATGAGTATTTTAAAAGCCAGACCGCTTCTCACTGACGGTCTTCGAAGGCAAATTGGCAATGGGGAAACCACGTCGATTTCAAGGTAAATTCCTCTTAGCTATGGTTTTCGCGTGGGAGATCCGTAATAAGGAGTTGCATGGGGAAGTTGGGCTTTAAAGGGAAGAGCTAGTACCCTGGTGCAGTAATTATTTCACCACGTTCAGACAATCTCTCATACAACCCGGCACGAGGTAACGCGAGTTAGTTAATCAATTGATTTTCTTGATATGAGTTCTTTTACATAAATGATTAAATTCAGTTAGGCAAAGAAGAATATTCAAATTTTGTTATTTGTTTATCGGTGGTGGTGATATTAGTAAGATCATCAATTGAATCGTTACTAACGGAAGCCCAAATAGACCCGACCCTTATTTGAGTCGAGATCAATTAGTTATGAGCATGGCCAAGTTTGAGCATTTTTATTACACCCGATTAATTTAGCTAGCCCCAATTAAGTACGACTACGTTAATAGACACCGATAAATAAAACAAAACCGAGTATAATATCATTAATTCTTAAAAGCGAGTTACGGCCTCAATCATAAACACAAACGTTGCGTTATTTAGGCGAGACTAAAAGGATCTTAATCTTTAAACTTGAAAAAGTCAAGAACTACAACGGATAGGAGTAACCACGGAGGTACCTTGAATCAACTCCTGATTCACGTACTAGTGCAATTCTCCCAGTTCGAGCCACCTGCAAAATTTCAAGCAAAAACTTTCAAACATCGAGAATTACAAACACCCATACCGGTTTTGTTTATATTTTTACGAGGACTCCGTCAAAACGTGTAACTTGGAAAATCAAAACGACTGTCAAAAGTGTGTTTGTTATTTAAAAACTATATGCCAAGACGTAGCCAATATTATACAACCAAATAAGCTTATATTTGATGCATGAAGAAGAGCCTGCAAACGAGACTTACCTCACAAATGCCATATGGTTCCAACAATCTTTGCAAGGCAACCATCTTATCCAAATCTCCAGTCAGCTGTAATAAATTCAAAACGTTTAATCCAAGAACAGAAAAAATAAAAAGGTGAACGAAAAACGATGAAAAGAAACAACAAAGTCTGGGCTATAATATGCTGTAAATTTTAAAAAGCATGTTAATAATTATAAAAAACATTTACCTCGAGGGTAATAGTATGGTCGGATACATCAACAGCTTTGGCTCTGAAAATACTAGCAATATCGAGTACATTTCTGCGTGCAGCAGCATTCACAGCGATTTTTATCAACATCAATTCCCGCTCGGCAAAAGGCAAGTGCGTGAGATCCCGAACCTGTACATTATAAATTCACGGGTCATATATTTTATTCAGAAGCACGCTACATTCAAGAAAACCCCTCCTTCAGTCAATATGCAATATTAGCTTATTTACATTATAAGGCCTCGTTTGGTAGCTAAGATAAGATTAAATAATCTAATGAAACCTAATTATACTATTAAACCTTTGGCGATCCAATAAAAAACATGTCTAGAAGGCAAGATAAGGCATGATAACATAATATTTGCGGGTCGACCCAGCAAGTTATTGGGTATACCAAACATCAAACAAAGTCCAATTATTTAGTTAATGATGGCTAATCTCCCCAACCAAACGAGGCCTTAACAATATTATACTCTCACCTCATGAAGATCCACCAATTTATAAAGTTGTTGTACCAACTTGCCAATTGATTCATCTGTACCAGGAACAACCGTCGTAATACGCGAAAGCCCCTCAACTTCAGAATGACCAACAGCTAAACTCTACGAATACGCAACAAACATAAAAATCAACTAAAAATAATAGGAAATGAAATAAAATAAACGAACACAATACGTAAAAAGATATTATACCTGGATATTATATCCTCTTCGAGCAAAAACCCCTGTGACGAGGTTAAGAACTCCAGGAACATCATTAACAACCATAGAAAGGGTGTGAGAGCTAAGTCCACTACTCTGCACGCGTCAAGCGAAAGTATTATTAAAAGTCGTATTAAGAAGCATATGTTAAAAAATGAGAACGAGTATAACTTCTTACATCATCATCGTTCAATACTCCCCAATGAGCATCGAGAACTTGATTGATAGAAATGTCATCTCCTGATTCTATAGGGTAAACATCTCCCTTCATAAAAATTTAAAAAAAAAAGATTACTGATATAAATAAATAAATAACTTAAAAAAAAAATAAAAAAATAAAAAAAAAACGTATGTAATGTTTAAGGATGGTGGTGTATCATTACCCCAGAAGATGTATCGGATTCTTCAGTGACAGTCTTTTTTACTCTCCGTGAGATAGAACTAGCTGGCCTTGCTGCTTCAAGATCGGGATATGAAGCGGCTGAAAACCTCCAAAAGGGAGCAGATTCGCCCATCTTTTCCCTTCTTAGAGCAATCTAATTCAAACCACAAAAAACATCTAAACTTACATAAAGACGAAAAAGAAGAAAACGAGACAAAACTTATTATTTATCAGCTTATTTACCTTCCCTGTCCTTGCAATCTCTCTTATCCCGAATTTGCTCAAATTTCTTTGCACTGCGACCATCTTCCCTGGATCTCCTGTTACCTATATAGGTACTGGAAATCAATACTTGATAATGCAATTGGGACCATCAAAATCCTATTAATTTAGCGAAATATTAACTTATCGATACATTAATAATTACTAATTTATAAATTAATTTATGAAATTATTGTTATTATTATATTCAATAAATACATTTTTTTTTGTTTTTTTACGTATATATTAGAGCCCGGTCACGGATGTAACAAGACACATATGTAGATGAAAATCACCAAAAAGTAGCTTCGATCTAAAATAAATTGTAGATATTACTGTTGAATGACTACTTCATTTGAAAGTTTAAGTTTTTAGTGAAGTGAATCATTTAATATTAGCCATTACCTCAATAGTTAGCGAATGATCGGAGATGTCCACAATTTTTGCCCTAAAAATGTCCACTAGCCACATGACCTGGAAAATAAAGTCAAAACAAAATTCATTGTTGAGTCACATGATAAGGGAAAATGAAATGGCTTTAACAAAACTGTGAAGACTTATACTATACTCGACCGTTAAATAAGTATAAAACAAATAGTACATATAATGAAAAGTCAAACTTAACATCAACGGAACCAAAAACGAATACCTCTGCTCGATGATTTGGATCAGCATTAATTTTGATGAGCATTAACTCGCGTTCCACTTGTGGGTCCTGTGAAATGTCTTCAACCTGGTTGTCAAATTGGCACAAAAATTAGAAACTAAATACAATCGAAGTAAAAGTTGCAAATCAATCATATATGAAGAAATCCAGTAGGCGTAAGATATATAATAGGATAAATAGCATTTAAACCCCCTGTGGTAACAAGCTGTTGCAGATGACCCCCCTTGTGCTTATAATATCAGCACATAACCCCCTTTTGGTGTATACCCCCCTTGTGCTTATAATATCAGCACATAACCCCCTTTTGGTGTATGGGGTAGCTTCCGTTAGTTTTTCCGTCAAACTTAACCGCGCGTGTCAAACGTCAAAGTAATTTTTTTTTTCAGATGACCCCCTTGTCCTCTCATTTTCGCTTTAATTTTTGCAGATGACCCCCTTGAAGTTTGACACAAGCGGGTTATACGCTGATATTACGAGCACGAGGGGGTCATCTGCAAAAGCTTGTAACCACAGGGGGTTAAATGCTATTTATCCCATATAATATAATAGTCAGAGATTGCAATATTTATGCCTCTAGGTAAACCACAGCTCGACTATCGAGAGTGATTTTTCTTAATAGTAATTATTAATTAGCGAATCGAGAATAAGATGACGACCTTCAATACATTGACAAGCTTCTGGAGCTGTTCCATAACATGATGTAGCACCCTTTCGGTTCCAGATACAACTATGGTGAAGAGAGCCTTATCCTTATTCAGTCCCACTGCAAGCGATTCAATGTTATATCCTCTCCGCGCAAATACTCCAGCTATTCTATTTATCATCCCACTTTCGTCACCGACAAACACCGAGATTGCGTGACGCTTTACCCTGGATTAAAAATCAGATCGAAAACTTGAGAAAGAAAATGACATCATAAACTATATTTCAACAAAAATCTAATACATTTCATGCAAGATTACTCACACAAATCGTAACATAGTGGATTATACAACAATAATGCCAACGACAAGATTAACTAATTCTGTACCCCAAAACCCTCTACTCAATCATACAAAATTACTCACAAATCGATCATGACGCAACTATAAGTTTTACCACTATGAATTACTAGCATTACAAATTTACAATTAATGGTGCCGTACATGCTACCTCGGCTGAAATAGAGCATGTAATGTATTCTTGTTGATTTACACACAATTACACACATATATATGCAGTAGAACCTCAATAAATTAATAACCCCGATTAAATAATAGTTTCTCTCGGTCCGGACTCAGTGAAAATGTATTAAATTATTAACTCGCTAATTTAATAATTCGCTAAATTATTAGAATTTCCGTTTAACTGTATGTACATTTGTGTAAAATATGCATTGCTATATAAACGCCTGTGGTCGGATTTGTGTCGAATTTCATCGATGTAGCATCGAATAAACCCCAATCAATTCATTTCTTAATAACTGGTATTCAGGATTAGGTAGATCATACATTTCATAATTAACAATTTCGATTCCGGCAAAACGAATTACTGATATTCAAAAGGTTGCAATAAGGAAACGGATAATAGTGAAAAGGAGATTACTTCGATCTAGCGGCGGAGTTGGTGGTGGCGGCGGCGGACGGATGAGAATCTGAAACGGAGACAACGGCGTCGTTTTGCTGCCTGCTATCGCCATTTGCGCTTTGAGCACAAACCGCAACCCTTCTTTTGGTGTATGATGAGAATTTTACTGAAGAAAAGGTAATGTCGGATTTGGGGATGAGGTCATTTGAGCGCGTGGACGCACGGAATAGTGTGGCGTGAGTGGCAACAGCCGCCATTGATACTGTGTGTCAGTGTGGGTAAAGATTGCTCGTTAAAGAAGGCGAAGAAAACAGTATTGAATCGGGTCGTGAATCAACCCGGTTGCAAAGCGGTGCGGGTTAGAATTTATAGTATGTAATTTAAGCAAATAAAATAATATAGAATTCTTTTGCAATTCACACAAATAAATTAGGGACTATTAATGAGAACCCCCTCTATCATTTTTTTAATAAAGGTAGGTCCAGTCCCTTTTCTTTTATTAGTGATAGATCCAACTTTTTTTTATTATCAAATTTACCCTTCATTTCTTATTATTCACTCTCAACTACTTTAATGCCTATTTAATTTTTTTAATTA